AAGCAATCTGTTATAAGAATCAGTTAAAGAATAAGAAGAGAAAGAGAAACTATAATGCTATGGCATCAGGGCAAACAGGGAGATCTTTAATTATATAAAACTTTTTTATAATTTCGAGATACATAAATATCAGGGAGTGAATATAACATTGAGTTTCTTTCCAGTTCGCTACATTTCTAATAAATGTTCTCTTTTATTACTTTTAACGTAAGTTAAAACAGTCTTAATATGCTCCATTTACATAACAGCCTCTCGGTAGAGAATAATAGGTGTTCTGTGATAATGGCGCTTCACATAGGCGTTCCCCAGGGAATGCCACAAAATACGGTCCTGAGCGGCCTCCATCCATTGACTTGCTGCGTTTATTGCAGTTTGTCACTCCATCTAGTGGGGTGATAAAGCTTATGAACAAATAGTTATAAAATAATAACAATATCTCTATATAATATAAAATATAACATAATAAAACTTATCTTACTCGACAACACTGTCAGACAAAAAATGGCAAATCGTAATGAGTTGATGCTTACAAAGAAAACGCTAAAATCTGTACGCGCACGTGCGCGGCGTAGCACACAATTTGTTACATCTTATTTGTGCTATCGCCGAGTTATAAACAAGGATTATACATCATTATAGTCGAAAGCTCGCGAAAAGTTCGCACTACAATACTTACTATCTTATTGCGAAACCAAGTTTTACTAAAGCAGTACCAGCACCGCAGTCATCGCAAAATATTGATATTACTGTGGAACTCCATACTTTTCACTTTAGTTTGCTTATTTCTGCACTTTATTGGAGCTGACTCTAGTATAAACCTGAGACTTCGTCTACTTTTTAACTTTTTTCTAAACTACTTTTTGTAGTACGTCGGCTCCTTATATACGGATTTTTATACGTGGTAGAGCCACGCTGCACCTATATTACGATGGGGGAAGAATCACGCTCTCATAGAATACTAGCGTAAAATAGCAGCGTAATACTGCTGTGTTTCGTATGGTGAGTGTAGAGATCCGGAGACCCTTTTTTACTGGAAATGAGGCCTTCTATCTTAGTCTTCTGGGGTGGCAACGCATCCGCATTTTGATTTTTATCGAGAATAGATGTTTTTAGGCCATAGCATCCACTCACCGTCGGGTGGACTGTGTGCTCGTTTGATATCCTATTTTATAAAAAAATATTTATATACAATTGTAAGTTTTATGTCGAAATGCTTTCCCAATATGTATGTTCAATTTTATAAAAATGTGATATATAATATATACCATGTAAACACTAGTAGCAAACAATATATTTCTCCACAGAGTCACTACTTTATCCATTGGGTAATACGCTTTCACAGCAAAGTCCCGTAAGAATATACTAGAATGATAAAAGGGTTTATAAATTATTAACACACTGTTGATATTAATCCCTGATAAAGAAACAAGGCTTTTGTGTGCAGTAGGTGTTGTGATAGTGATAGTGATAGTGAATGATGCGATCACTGCGCGTGTTATTTTTTTAAACGATTGTTATAATGTTTGTACAATTTCCTTAATTGTAATTTATTGTTTTATTATATTTATATTATTTGTATTGTTTACTGAATTACTTATAATCTATATTGAATAAAAATTATTACTACTTTAGAACATTTTTACAATTAAAACATATTATGTGAAAAACTCTACAATGACATCATAGTCATAACTGAAATCCAATTATGAAAACGGAAAAATGTTAATTATTTTTGCATTTTATATAAATAATTCTTATACTAGTTTTACAGACACCGAAAAAGATACTGTAAATATAAAAAATAATATTTGTTTGTTCGTATTTTATGCGCTGCCATACCGTTCATCAGGTTGCGGTCAAACTTTGTTAACAAATTGCTTGCACTTCTGCAAAGGTTATAGACATTGTTGGACCCGGTGGGTAGAGCTATTGTAGAATCCAAAAAATCACCCGTGCGAAGCCGGGGCACATGGCTAGTTGCAAATTAAGTAGCATTAAATTAAGCATTTTTAAGCACAATTATTTTCTAGACGGTAAGACACCTTTCTACCAAGAAGTTCGACTAAGTTGTTACTAAGTAATTTCTACTGCCAAATAGGATTGCTTGCTTTGCTATGTTGCGACCTGAATAGTAATTACACCTAGTACAATAACAGGCTGAGAAGCATTATATCTTTAGTTCTCAGTAGTGGTGACGTATCATTGCCTTCTTTGGGGCAACAGCCCTTCTGGTGGACAGTCTGTGAATTTATAAAACAAATTGCTATATCATCTGTCCGGTGTGTATTTCGTTCACAAAATTTTTGACATTATGATGTTGCGTCACATTGCAAAGTTTTTGAGAAACTTTAAAGAGACAATTGATCGATTTGATGAATTTTTTAGGAAAGAAAAGTTTTTATGAAGCACAAACCTTAATACAACCTTTTTTATATTAAAGTCTCTGCCAAAACAGATCATGACATAAACAAAAAAAAATAGGCAAAAATTTCAGAAAAGTGAGAAGGGCTTGAATTCAATTTAAACCATTCATTGCAACAAAAACTGCAGGCGAAGAGTAAAACCTATTTTGGGGATTATGTCGCATTTAATTAACTAGTTAAAAAATATAAAGTTATAATATAAGTATATAAAATGTTCGTTTGAAATGTTCAATTGGTATAACAAAACTTGGTTGACCCTGCAGGCCATCCCTGGAATTTCCTGTTAATTTACGTAACAAAGCGCTTCAAATCCCACTTTCTTATTTTTTCAAAATTGAATATTTCACGAACAAATTAACCGATTTTGATGTGATTTTGATAATCGACGCAATTTTTTCAGCTTAACAAAAAAGCCTATTATAAAAAATTTATTTCACAGTAGGTTTTCGAGTTATTTTATAAAAACACTTTTTCGAGATTTTTTTTCGTCAACGATATCTCTCGAACGAATCAACCGATTTTGATGCGGTTTACAGCAATCGACGTCCTTTTTTTGAGATCTGATGTAAACTCGATTTTCAAAAATCGGGGTGAATACAATAATTTCGCCGTTTTTTGAAAATCATTAATTTAGTGGGAAGCTAAAAATTTATCTAATTAAACGCTAAAATCAGTAAAATAGTTTTATTTAATGTCCTAGATTCGTATAATATAATATATGAAATCATTAAAACTACAGACGTAGTTCTATAATATAATATTATTTCAAAACACTAACTACGAACGTAAGAGCTATAATAAAAAGAAACATATAATTCTACGAACTCATTTTTGTGCGATTTCAGATGTCTAAGAACAAATCCGAACTTAAAACCAGAGTTCTTAATTTAAAGTAACCACAAAATTGTTTGAGGAAAACATAATAAACATGAGCTGCCCAACGTGAAATGTTATTCGATCGATTAATAAATAGATAAATTATTAACACCAATATTTACTAACACTTGGAAAACTTATAAAATTAATCATTATTTCCATCGATTTCCATCGGTTACAAAAAATAATAGAATAGAATAAATTTTGTTCGATATAAATTATGAGAATACTTTTTGAAAGTATTTTAAGCTTTACCACTGATTCGGAAAAACCTCTCACCTTGGAAGAACCAGCAATAACACAGCGAGACTTTTTTTAAATATACAATATAACATTTTACACAATCAATACAATTAGTATGAAAAAATATTATATTACATTACAGTAAGGGTTGTTCACCAGATACCCCACAAGCAACGCTAAGTTGAAAGAAAAATTTAATTAGGTATACAGTCTAGGAATTCCCTAGGCTTCGAATAAATGTTATTATTCGATCAAGTCTTGCTGAGTAGTGAACACTTTCAATCACTGAGGCAAACTCCCATAGGGTTCGTCTAAATATTTTTATTTCAATCAAAAGGGATATGATATGGAACAATTAAAAACATTTAATTCCTCAGACATTCAGGTTTTACTCATGATTTTCTTCGCAGCTGAGCACTGGGTAAGAGAGTGCTTAAAATCTAATATATAAAAATTAATTTTTGTTTACTCGTATTTTATGCGCTGCTATACCGTTCATCAAATAGCGGTAAAACTTGGTCTACATATTTCTTGCATTTTCGCGAAGGTTATAGGCATAGTAGAACGCGGTAGTTGGTACTGTTGCAGAATCCACAGGAGCCCGCGCTAAGTCGTGTTGAACGCTAGTTACATATAATATTTTTAATTAGTGCCGGGGAGATTCTAAGCCGCTGAACCACCATGACTCTTCTGACCTAACACGTAACCTATACCTCCTTCATAGTTTTCCATAGTGTACGGTATGAGTCGTCCAACACTGGGGCTAACGGTATACCTGCATTTTTCAGTATATCGACGCCTCATCTAATAGTCGTCACCAAACAGTAAGAGGCAGGGCAGACAGTACGAGCGAGGGTTGTCGACACAACCTTTCTTCCTCATCTACTGCCGGTGCTACGAGCCATATGGCCAGCTCATTGCGACTTCAGCTCACTGATCCACAGGACTTAGCAAGATAAACTTACTTCTACTGCGGATATCATTGTTACAGATTTTATCACGCAGAGAAACTTCGAGCATTGACCTCTCCATCACTTATAAAGTGACATCGAGCTTCCTCATACATCCACTATGACATATGGGATCAAATAAAACATAGCATCGTTGTACCAGTTCCTTTACTCTAAAGAGTCAGTAATTCCTTCATAGAGCAATGTATACCCTTTTCCAACAAAGTACCAAAAAATATGCAGGACCTATTTATCAAAAATCTTAAATTTTCAAGAAGCAAAAATTTTTTAATAAGCATGATAACCTACTAACGAGTACATGATAGATAATAATCCCTGGTAAATGAGGGAATCGCTAAGGTGTACTGAATCTAATAAAACTAAAATTGTCTCATTTCGTAAAGGTTTAGTGAGTGAAAACGTTTTCCATACCGGTGGTAAGACTTAAATGGCTTTCAGTAAGTAATCTATATTGAATGAAAATGATTCTATTATATTATATAGAAAATTAAAATGTATGTTCAGAGTCAATCTTCTCAGATCCGTACACAAATATAACAATAGTAGAAAAAGCAATAAATATGATGAATTCACTGCGCCTCGGCAAATAAATACAGATGTCTGAAACAGAAGAAAACGCGGCGTCTTTGAACTTTGATATTTCGTTCACGTATAACAAGTTAACAGATTTATGTTGATCGAGAGATGTCATATACTTCAAATGCTGTTACGTAATTTTTTATTTAGTTTCGAGTTAAATAAATTGAGTTTTATATTTAAATATATATATTTAATCTTAAAAAAATGATCTTTATTTTTGAATTGGCATGACAACTGATCACACAGTCTACATACCATATAGGCAGCCCATAGTCACCCGGTTTTTTAAGATTTCGATTAATTAATTACTAAGTACTCGGATGACCGAGCATTGCTCGGTTTTTTAAGTTACATTTATATACAAATTACATGAATTAGTGAATAGTTTTTGATCTTATTGACATAATAGAAAAAACTGAACTGGTTATTTGAATAAAAAATCATGAGTGCAAGTAGATTAATAAAAATTTTCGTATTTTTAAAAAATACTAAAAAAAAAGGGCTCGAAATAATAGATTTCCTCACAACAGAAGTTAACTTGAAAAAAAAAAGGAAAAAAGTCGGACTCAAGACGGGACGTGAACCACGGAACACCGATGTCACGCCCGAACAACATCCCATCTGAGCTATTACGATCGTTAGTAACCTGTCAAAATTTACCTTCTTATATTGTAGCAGTTTTTTTATTGCCCTGAAAACACGGACAAAGGGACATTTTCTAAAAATAAATCCTAGCTAGATCGATTTATTGCCCCCGAAACTCTCTGGACACTAAATTTTATGAAAATCATTGGAGCCGTTTGATATATATATATATATATATATATATATATATATATATATATATATATATATATATATATATATACAAGAATTGCTCGTTTAAAGGTATAGGATAATAAAATTCTTGAAGTCGATATTTAACGCAATAGTTAAGGGTACTTATTATACGTTTAACTATAACTACACACACTGATTCACACCAATTTAACTCTTATTACTTACAAATAACAAATTACAAACTTTCCAAATCGATGTAGTTCATTAGCACTAGGTAATTGCTATATAGCCGAATTACGCAATCGATTGTTGAAATCGATTGAAGAGATACAGGATAGGATTTATGTACAGGCAACGTAGTCCGAAAGTTATTACTAGAGCAAACGTTACGTAAACGAGAACTTTGTTACAAAATGCTTTTATCCGACGCAGTCCGCCTTTCTCTTCGCTATCATGGATTCTATCGTCGTGTATCGACGCGAAGCCCCGACTAGCGGCTTTGTTCTAGACGTAATTATCTAATATAACCTGTTGCTGTAACGTTGTGGAGCTGCAGTGATTCAATCGATATCTCACTGTGCATCGATGTTAAGTATAAATCGATTAACAAACTATTTCCTTATGTAGTAGTTACTTAGTGCCTACAAACATCCAGTAGTATCTCAGAGCTTCCTAATTTTTGAAAGGATAATGAGGTAAAAAGAATAAAGAGGCGTAGGCAGTTATGGAGTCATGAATATATAAAGATCTATACGGTATGAAGTATAACATTGTTCTAAAT